CTGCTCAGGGCACTGCTGCTGGTGTAAATTCCAAAGGGCTTCCCACCCTCTCCTCATTCTCACATTTCTCTGCTCAAGATGCAAAGCCATAGGAGAGAGAGGCTTACTGCCAAGCTTAGTCACACGTTTTTCTCTTCTGTAAAGAGAGAGAGATGCTGCCATGAGAAATCATTATAGCAGGTCCTCACAGCACTTGTGTTTAGAGTTCAAATCTCACTTTTTTTTTACTTAACATGTTTCTAAGATTTTTAAGATTCAGCTACGTTAATATATACTAGAGGCCCCGTGCACCGGTGGGGTCCCTCGGCCTGGCCTGCAGGGATCAGTGGACCTCTGCGCCACTGCAGCCCGGCCTTACCTGCCAGCCTCCTCAAACTACAGCCAGTTGTGGATCCCACCCAGCACGAAGTAGTGTGTGAAGCGGCAGGGGGCCAGGGAGGAGCTCAAGCCTGGGCTGGGCACTGTGCCACTGCCGCTCATCCGGCCCACTGCGCCTATTGCCTGATCATATTCCTTAAATTCTCTTTCAAATTTATTAACTTTATTTCCTCTCTGTGTTGCATTTTGATTAAATTTAGATGCATCTTCCAATTCACTAATTATCTCTTCAGTTATATCTAATCTGCCCTTTAACTCAACCAGTGAGTCCTAAATTTCAATCGTATTTTTTACTTCTAGAAGTTCTGTTTTCTTTTGAAATTTTCTACTAGTTTTTTTTTTCGCTCCTGCTTTCTCTTCATATTTTTAATTTTTAAGACTGTCAAGAACTGTGAAGGGTCTGAGATTTTATGGTAGTTACAGGTTAGCTCGCCACAGTTGTGTATATACTGAAAGAAGACCCGAGACTTCTTTCAGTATAGACCTGAAAGAAGACCAGAGACTTCTTTCAGAGGCAAAAAACTTTATTAATCACGGAAGAAGCAGTAGCCAGTGTCAACATGTTTGTTTTGGTTCCCTATATCCTAATTCCTGTAGGAGTGACACAGAGAGCTACCTGCACAGGAGAGGATCACTGATCTTGGGGAACTTGCCAATTTATAGTAGACAGTAAACAAGGCTATACTTTCTCCTAGTGGGAGGCGTTATCCTACCCTCTAAGGTTACCTGCTGCAACACAGGCCTGAAAAATGGTCTCAGCAAAGATCAGCCAGGCCTTGATTTTTTTTGGCACACAAAGCAAGACATGCAAGAACGAGAGAGACATATGGAGGAGTAATTCTCAACAATATTAGATACAATGGTTTTCTGATTTGTGTTGGAAATTATAATAGCTATGAGTCTTATTCTACTATATGTTCTTTGTATTGGCTCTTGCACATCGTGTTTTATTTCTTTGTGTGTTTATGATTTTTGACTGTGGGTTCACCTTTCTTGGAATGAAGGGAGTTTTCTCCAGAGAGAACTTGCAATTACTTCTGGGAGCACTACCAGCTGGAATTCACTTTAAAAGTACATTCTTACCTTGTGGTTTTTCAGACCACTCACTGTGAATATAGGCTGGAAACCTATGGATGGGTATGCATGTTCTAATGAATTCTAAGCGGAAATGACTCCCCCCTTCCCTTCCCTGTTGCTGTTCAGTACCATATTTCTAGATAAGCTACTTTCCTTCTTCTAAGTTCACCTTAATGTTGAGGGAATAACATTTTGGGGATCTAGTTTTATGCAGTGGGTATTCCCTATAGATTCTCTCTATTGAGCCAATCCTGGACTTTGTCTATTGTTCCCTATGTCCTTTAAAGTAATAAAACCTATATTAGTTAGAGTAGCACTAGTGTTGTAACAAACACAACAAAAAAGTATGTGCTTAACACAATAAATGTTTATTTCTCAATCACATAGTAGTCAAATTTAGATGAGAGTGCAGCTTTTTTCCATATGGTGATTCAGGGACTCAGACTACTGAGCAACCCAGTCAGGACCATGCCCCTTAGTTTTAATTGTACTTCACTTATAAACCCTAAAGCACAGACACAGTACTATACACAAGTTGAAATAAATACATGGTGATTGATTGATGAATCATGTTCATAGTAATTATGTAATCACATAATTATAATTTCATGGTAATATGCTGTTTCTCTAAATGATAACACCAACTAAAATATTGCCATCTCTGGGTACAAAGGTGATTCATTCGGTTCACTAGTGGATAGCACTAAGTGATGATGACTACTGCTGACTAAATTTGCATTGAGTCATCCACAATGTGCTGGAGTTATCTGTGTCCAGTGTTTTCCATTTGTGAGAAGGTTGCCAAGATAAGCAATGTTCTCCATGGCCATGCAACAGAGATGTTCTCTGTGTAAAATGAAACTAGTGAATGCCTGTATGGAGACTGGACACATGACCTCTTCCTCTCTATCCAGCTCAGGAATGGGGCCTCACATTGTAACATCCCATTTTTGGAGGAGGAAATAGTAATGTGTTCATCATGCATGCTTTGGAGATTAAATCATATTCATCTGAGGCACAGGAAGAGAGCAAATTAAAAAAAACACACTGGATGACAGTTGGGACAAGCAGTGGGAGTGTATTGTATTAATCTTTGAAGAGTCAGTTCTTTGCTGAACTTAAAGGCTGTGGTTTGGTGACACTAGGGTTCTTCTTTGTGATTCTGAATGAATTTCTTTTTCTCTCTGCCACACATTTTAACATGAGGCAAAGGGATGGAAATGTCCTGCCAAGGAAGTTATTATATATAAAAACGCTTTGAAGTATTTTTACTGAGTGAGGAAAGTAGACATCTCATCAGCAGTGAGAAATGGGACACTGAGACTGAATCAGCGTTTCTCAGCCTGTGGGTCGCGACCCCTTTGGGGGTCAAACGACCCTTTCACAGGGGTCGCCGAAAACCATCGGAAAAGACATATATAATTACATATTGTTTTTGTGATGAATCACTAGGCTTTAATTATGTTCAATTTGTAACAATGAAATTGGGGGTCACCACAACATGAGGAACTGTATTAAAGGGTCGCGGCATTAGGAAGGTTGAGAACCACTGCTTTAGCTCATCCTTTAAGGGCAGCATCCTCAGCTCATTAAATGGTACCAATCTCGCTGTCACAGAGCTTGGCCCTGCAATGTCTGGTGTGAACACACTGTCCAACGTGCCTGCTGCGTCATAACTTCCTTCCATTTCTCACAGTGTTGTCCCAGTGCGTGTGACTGGCCTCCCTTCCCAATTCTCCCATATAGCATCCTAGTGTCTCATGGGGACTTCACTCTGTCCTGAACTCCATTCTATTTAAAGGGAGTCTAAAACTCTGCTAGGCTCTTTGCAGCTCTCTTGAGAGATAGCAATAAGTGAGCTCAGTTTCATGTGCCCCAAGCTATTGATTGGGGTTCAATTGTGAACAGTCTGTTTGGAACCTGGATATTTTACCCGTTCCCTGAACTCCTGTTGCTTCCTTGGACCTTAAAGGCTGCCAGAATCACATCAGGGCATTCCTATGTCCTTGAGACACCGAACAGTCTGTTGTCACTTTGGGATACCCACCTGTCCCTGGGAGTCTCAAGTCTCTCTAGCTCCGGTTTACCCACTTTGTACTTCTTATTTTTTCCATTGACTCTTGGTGCCAGAGTCCCAGGTTGCCCGGTGTAAGACCATTGAGTTATGGCATGACATTTTCACTACATTTCATAGTCTAAACCTAAGGGGAATACTCTAGCTATCAAACCTTTCATTATAGTTGCATTTTAGTGTTGGAGTTAGAGGGTGCTCGCATGTGACCTCTTTAAGGAAGACATTCTTGAGCCCCTGGTCAGGGTTGGTGACCCTACAGTGTAGTTCCATAACACCTCTGCTTATCTGGCTCATAAGACTTATCATAGGAATGGTACTTGCATGCTTGTATGTTTAAATATAGCTATCTCTCAAACTAGAATGTAAGCTCCTTGAGTGAGGGCCTTTTTCATATTTATCTGTATATGTCCACAATTACAGTGTTTGGTACATAGAGGCCTTTAGTCAATATTTATTGAATACTGAGACTTAGGATACAAACTCTAGAACAAGACTTGCTGTGTGACCTCATTACATTCTTGATATTTCTGTATTTCAGTTTTCTCATCGATAAAAAGGGCATATTAATAGGGTTGTTCTTAGAACTGAGTTATAATATGTAAAGTACTTAGAACAGTGCCTATGATATAATAAGCAATAGATGTAGACTTTTATTGTTGAGTCAGTGAGATGGGTAGAGTATTGGCCTACTAATTGTATAGTAGTTGATTTTGAACACTGCTGTCTGAATTCAAGATTTCCTCCACATTCTGGAAGGCCCCTTACTCCCAGATCTTTTCTCTGTTTTTTCTTTTTGTTTTTAATATATTTTTATTGATTTCAAGGAGAAAGGGAGGGAGGGAGGGGAGAGAGAGAGAGAGAGAGAAAGAGAGAAAGAGAAACATCAATGATGAGAATCATTGATTGGTTGCTTCCTGCATGCCTCCCACTGGAAATTGAGCCCACAACCCAAGCATGTGCC